ATTTTCCAATAAATGTCCAAGTAGCCATTCTGATATGCAGTCATGAATGGGTTGACATTATTTATTCAATTACAGTGGACCCCCGCATAACGATGGCATCACATAGCGATTTTTCCGCATAACGATTACTTTTATCGCAAAATTTTTGCCGCGCATACCGATTAAAAACCCGCTTACCGATTTTCGTCCGAGACGCGTCCAATGTGCCCTCACATGTGCCGGCCGTCCCATTGTTTACCAGCCAGCCTCCGCGGTAACATCCAAGCATACACTCGGAATATTTCGTATTATTACAGTGTTTTCGGTGCTGTTTCTGGAAAATAAGTGACCATGGGCCCCAAGAAAGCTTCTAGTGCCAACCCTGTGGTAAAAAGGGTGAGAATTAGTATGGAAATTAAGAAAGATTTTGAAGGTTTTGGGCTAACCCTGAGAAGCCTATGCCAGTTGTGGAATCCATTGTGCCTACTCAAAGATTAAGGAAATGTGTGCACAGTGGGTTGAACTGCAAACCTTTATAGATGAAAATCACCCTGACACAGCTGTTGCAAGCCGTGCTGGTGACTATTTCAATGACAATGTTATGGCCCATTTTAGGAAAGTCTTGAAGGAACGGGAGGTACAGAGCTCTATGGACAGATTTGTTGTGCGACAGAGGTCCAGTGACTCTCAAGCTGGTCCTAGTGGCATTAAAAGAAGAAGGGAAGTAACCCCAGAAAAGGACTTGCTACCTCAAGTCCTAATGGAAGGGGATTCCCCTTCTAAACAGTAAGAAGATAATGCTCTCCCCTCCTCCCATCCCATCAATCATCACCAGATCTTCAAAAAAGTAAGTGTCATGTAATTGTGCATGCCTTTTTCAGTTTGTGTGTATTAAAATTAACATTTCATGTGGTAAAAAAAAATTTTTTTCATACTTTTGGGCGTCTTGCACGGATTAATTTTATTTCCATTATTTCTTATGGGGAAAATTCATTCGCATAACGATTATTTCGCATAACGATGAGCCCTCTTGCACGGATTAAAATCGTTAACCGGGGGTCCACTGTATAACAAAAAAAGGCACAATACCGTGGCTGGAACGATACACAAATAACCCGAACATAAAAGAGAGAAGCTTATGACGACGTTTCAGTCCGACTTGGACCAGTGTGACTTTGTAAATGGCCCAAGTCGGACCGAAACACCATCGTAAGCTTCTCTCTTTTATGTGCGGGTTATTTGTGTATACAGTTATTACAGTGTTGCAGTAGTCTGCATAACAGTAAATCTTCTATTTTTTGTTTGAATAAAAATTCAAAATAGAAAGCAAGAGTAATATCAGAGGGGCCTGGAGATGTGACTGATGGACAAAGAAAATGTTATTTTAGAGCCAGGAGTGTCTGCATTGTTCATTTCGGACCCTATTTTGAAACTGTAATATTTTTTAATTTTCGTGAAATTGGCCAAATTGCAAATTTCTGACCATGTTATTGGGCAGTTGAAATTGGTAAATGGGCAGTTTCTTGTACTCAATCGATAGAGAAAATGGAGTTCTAAGAAATGGCTGAGCTTGGTCAACTGAAACAATGGAATTAGCCGAAAATAGGGCTCAAAGTGGGCAAAATCGCTGATTTGTAAATATCGCCGAGGCCGCTAACTTCACGAGAGTGTAATTCTGTCAGCTTTTCATCGAATTTCATTCTTTTGGTATCATTACAATCGGGAAAAGATTCTCTATCATTTCATAAAAAACATTTTTTTTTTTTTTTTGTAAATTTTGCAACACCAAGAGACACCTTAAGATTTGGGGTTGCGACAGTCAAGGGGTTAATACCACTTGTAGATAATTCATGGATATCTGCACAAGGGGCGTGACACCATTTTCCACAAAAGTGGCGTGTAATCCATGTGGAAGCCCATTTGTTTGATTTACTGCAGACTACACAGGATTTCATAATGTGGTTTTAATGGTTGATTTACTGTAATTCTACTAATAACCTCCTGAATATTCTGCTAATAACCTCCTTAAAGTGATGATCTGGCTCTTTGTATTTCTATTTCTAACTGTACTTGTATAGTTGGACAAGCTTACCGCTCTAAGTTACTGCTATGTAGTTGTTTGTGTGTTTACTGAGGGCGCCTAAAGCCCCGTTTGTTTATAGTCCATTTTAGTGTCCAATGAATCCATTTGAAACCGGTCAAGGGTTTGGAACCAGTCAGATCTGATTACTGGATCACTTATTAAAACATATCTGGTCTATGATTTACCCTAACACATGAAGGAACTACTGGAGATTATTTAACCAAGTAATATGTGATTAGATTGATACAAAAGTACAGTGGACCCCCGGTTAACGATATTTTTTCACTCCAGAAGTATGTTCAGGTGCCAGTACTGACCGAATTTGTTCCCATAAGAAATATTGTGAAGTAGATTAGTCCATTTCAGACCCCCAAACATACACATACAAACGCACTTACATAAATACACTTACATAATTGGTCACATTCGGAGGTAATCGTTATGCGGGGGTCCACTGTATAACTTTCGTGTTGGAGAACCGGTGATTGCTGGCAGCTCCTGCAATGATGAACAGTCGAGACCTCAACCTTACTTACAGCCCAAAGGTTTATAGATCACTGTATTAAGCTTTTCTAGATTTTTTCCATCTCCACCACAACAAATGCTATGTTATCACTATAGTTGGCTGGTGAATATTATTGGAGGAAAGTCGCTTTTACTGGAGTAATATTTGCTTTCATTGTGTGTATTGCGACCGCTGCTAACTACAGGTTATATGAATTTCCACTATATACGTCTGGTATTTCAAGAATGAAGAAAAAAAAAACTAATGATGGTCACTTCACCCCACTAAGTACCATTTTTGTTACTGTTATCAGCTACTACACCACTGTGGTAAGGTTTCTGGATGATAAATGGTCTTATTGTTGTAAACCTTTACTGATATCGTATTTTTACAAAACTGTATACTTCATATTTCCTCAAGATTTTGCAACTTATCATAATTTATTGGAAAATTTTCCCCACTGGTATCACTACATTATATGCAGATACACTAGCAGGCTAGTAAGATTATTAAAACAGCTGAAATAGGCTGAAGGGGAACAGGTTTATTGTTTTGATTAGGTTTCCCTATAAATTGACAGACATGATAGGTCTTAATATACTCTGACAGTCTTCCACAGCTGAGACCAAAAGAAATGCCTGGAAACCTTGGACATCATCTGGTGACAAAACCCTTGTTCTCCTTCCATCAGTACTGCAGACAGAGGCGATTTCTTTGTAGGAATTTCCTCCCTGAAATGAAAACACTTATTTAACTGTAAAATCTCTTTCTCAGCCACAGCTGAGGCTCTGATCAGCTTACGAGTGAATGTTCCTGTGCAGAGATTAATTTGCACCCTAGTAGGTGCAGCCTCTCTCGCACTACTTAACTGATCCATTCTCCAATCATGCTCAGCTCTGGCTGCAACATCCTTTTCTTCAGTTGACTGCAGTTCAACATCAGAAAACAGGTTTCCAGACTTAAACCCTCACCATCCTCATGAGAAATATCATGAAGACTATTGGTAGCATGATCATGAGCCATACTTCTCATGGTGGAACCATCACAGTGAAGGTTGAGCAGAGTTTCCCTAGCCTTCTCCTCTCAACCTTTGGGACTTGGTTCCCCCCAAACTATTTGTCCTTACTGTCTAACAGGCCCATAACATTATTCCCTAATAATAAGTTGACCCCCTCAAAGGGAATTTCATCTGAAATACCTACAGGGAGATAGCCAACTTGGTATGCAGATTCTACCCATAATTTGTGTACAGGTGTTCCTATGGTTGAACCTGTAATACCCTTCAATAATATATCTACCCCAGTATAGGTATCCTTAGACACCTGCAGCACTCCAGCATGTAGTAAGGAGTAGGTGCTGCATCCATCTCTCAATGACAGTATGTTCTCAACTCTACCTACATCCTTTTGCAAACCAACTGTGGACCTACTAGAAAATACACACATCCTGGGGTCTAGATCCAAAAGGTTCCTCCTCACCTTGCCTTGAAGACCTAATGCAGGCAACTGGATGTATCTCTGCAGTTAGGGTCCCCTGGGATGGTTCCTCGCTTTTCTGATCTCGCTGTCTTGACCAACAGAACTTTTGTGTACGTCCAGTTTTGTTACAGCAGTAACAGGTATAACTCTTAAAGGTATTTTTACCATTTGGTGTAGGACTGGTACCGTTTACTCGAGGACCTGAAACATTATCTGATGGTCTAGGTAAACTTTGAGCTTTAGCTGACTTACCTTTTCCTTCTATTTTAGAGGGTGCTTCAGCCTTTGTTTGTCCCTGAAAATTCTTGTCCCACTTACCTTCATGACCATAGGACTTGGAATAAGGCTTGGAATGAGTGAGGAAATTTTCAGAAGGAGCATGACTGCTTTTACTTACCAGCTCCCTGCGAGCCAAGAATCTGTCACCCAGATGCATCATGGAAACATAAACACATATGCAGTTTAATGTTATCCTTTATTGACAACGTTTCACCCACACAGTGGGCTTTTTCAAGTCACAAACAGATCATATTTATACATCATATTTATGCATCATAATTATGTGTTATGTAACTTGCTTCTAATATAATTTTGAAAAAATATCACAAATGGATTAATGGAAATGTCTATATTAACATAATATGTGACATTTAATGCTGCTAAGAGATTATTATTATGATGTCTTCAAGAGAAGAGAGATTCCTACTGATTTTAATGTGTACCTGCACGCCAGCACAGTGTGCAAGTATATTTACATAGGTACAGGCACACATAAGTATAATTATCAGAGTACTTATAAAATATGTAATAACCTTAACCCTTAAATGGCCCAAACGTATATATACGTTCACTACCCCAGTGCGAAAATATTTTGAAAAATAAAAAAAATAGTTTTTTTTTTATTGAAAAAAGAGCACATTTTTCTAAGTGTTATAGGATAAAAAAATTTTTTTTTAGGGTCACTACTTACCGAGATATGAGGCCCAGAAGTTGGGACCAGATGCTCGTGTGACAGCAACATCGAGTCCTAGGTAATTTACACTATGTATACTTGTATTTATGTGTACCTGTGAGACAGAGATAGACAGATAGAAAGAGATACACAGAGACAAAGACAGACAGAGACAGATGGAGATAGAGAGAGAGAGAGACAGAGACAGACAGAGATAGACGTAGATACAGACAAACAGAGATAAAGCCAGGCCGCCAGCAGCCGGCCAGCCACACAGCTGGCCGCCATGCAGCTGGCCAGCCAGCTAGCGAGCCAGCAAGTCAGCCAATCAGTCAGTCAGTCAGCCAGCCATCCAGCCAGCCAGCCAGCCAGCCAGCCAGCCAGCCAGCCAGCCAGCCAGCCAGCCAGCCAGCCCAGCCAGCCAGCCAGCCAGCCAGCCAGCCAGCCAGCCAGCCAGCCAGCCAGCCAGCCAGCCAGCCAGCCAGCCAGCCAGCCAGCCAGCCAGCCAGCCAGCCAGCCAGCCAGCCAGCCAGCCAGCCAGCCAGCCAGCCAGCCAGCCAGCCAGCCAGCCAGCCAGCAGCCAGCCAGTCAGCCAGCCAGCCAGCCAGCCAGCCAGCCAGCCAGAGAGCCAGAGAGCCAGAGAGCCAGAGAGCCAGAGAGCCAGAGAGCCAGAGAGCCAGAGAGCCAGAGAGCGAGCCAGCCAGAGAGCGAGCCAGCGAGCCAGCCAGAGAGCGAGCCAGAGCCAGCGCAGCCAGCCAGCCACAAGCCAGCCAGCCACCAGCCAGCCAGCCAGCCAGCCAGAGCCAGCGCAGCGCCAGCCAGCAGCAGCCACCAGCCAGCCAGCCCAGCGCCGCCAGCCAGCCAGCCAGCCAGCCAGCCAGCCAGCCAGCCAGCCAGCCAAGCCAGCCAGCCAGCAGCCAGCCAGCCAGCCAGCGCAGCCAAGCCAGCCAGCAGCCAGCCAGCCAGCCAGCCAGCCAGCCAAGCCAGCCAGCCAGCCAGCCACAGCCAGCCAGCCAGCCAGCCAGCCAGCCAGCCAGCAGCCAGCCAGCCAGCCAGCCAGCCAGCCCCGCCAGCCAGCCAGCCAGCCAGCCAGCCAGCCAGCCAGCAGCCAGCCAGCAGCCAGACCAGCCAGCCAGCCAGCCAGCAGCCAGCCAGCCAGCCAGCCAGCCAGCCAGCCAGCCGCAGCCAGCCAGCCAGCCAGCCAGCCAGCCAGCCAGCCAGCCAGCCAGCCAGCCAGCCAGCAGCACAGCCAGCCAGCCAGCCAGCAGCCAGCCAGCCAGCCAGCCAGCCAGCGCCAGCCAGCCAGCCAGCCAGCCAGCCAGCCAGCCAGCCAGCCAGCCAGCCAGCCAGCCAGCCAGCCAGCCAGCCAGCCAGCCAGCCAGCCAGCCAGCCAGCCAGCCAGCCAGCCAGCCAGCCAGCCAGCCAGCCAGCCAGCCAGCCAGCCAGCCAGCCAGCCAGCCAGCCCAGCCAGCCAGCCAGCCAGCCAGCCAGCCCAGCCAGCCAGCCAGCCAGCCAGCCAGCCAGCCAGCCAGCAGCCAGCCAAGCCAGCCAGCCAGCCAGCCAGCCAGCCAGGCAGGCAGGCAACCAGGCAACCAGGCAGGCAACCAGCCAGGCAGCCAGCCAGGCAGCCAGCCAGGCAGGCAGCCAGCCAGCCTGCCAGCCAGAATTGTTTCTCTTTACTTAGGGCATAGGTTATAAGACATTCTGAAAGGGTGTTGCACAAATATTGCACAAGGGTTATTATTGAGGTTTTTTAATATTTCCTTGACCACTTGTGGCCACATCCACCTCACAGCCACTAAACTCAGGGTCAAAATCACTTTTCACTTAAAATGGGAGTGTTAATACTACATGACATCGGTGAATCCCAGGTGTTTGCTGTGCTGTTTGCTCTAGCTGGTGCTCATTTGAACTGGTGCTCCCACAAAGTACTAAGTGGTCCCAGATTTTTTTAATACTGCACACAGTGAGTGTTAGGATTCATTCTATGCAGACAAGGCATCTCAGGCCAATCGTGCCAAATTTGAAGGCAGGAAAAATATAACGTATATACACCTACCATCCAACTTACGACCGAGTTCGGTTCAGAGAAACTGGTCGTAAGTCGAAATGATCGTAAGTCGAACTTTACTACTGAATGTCAACAAAACATTTTTCTAATTACTTTATTTTATTGTTTTATTTTGGTATTTCATGTTTTACTTTACTTTTTATGCTGTTAGTACTGTATTTTTATACTGTAAGGTTTAGGATAAACACTATGTACAACACAAATAATTGTTTATTTCCCAGAAATTTGGCATAAAAAACACGGTCGTAAGTCAAGTGGTCATAAGTCGAGCAGGTCGTAAGTCGGATGGTAGGTGTATATATTTGGGGCACTAGCGGTAAAAACGTATATGTTTGGATTGTTTACGGGTTAAAACACTTAAAATTTTGGAAAGTTTCCAGACATAATAGAGAGATGTGCTCACGGAGAATGTAAACAAGCCGGGTGGGTTGTAGTGATCGTATTAGAATGGTAGGAGAGCTGTATAGCGAATTTTGGTCATACAGTGGACCCTCGGGTAATGGCGGCATTGGCTAACACCAAAATCAGATAGTAGCACATTTTTCTGTCAAAATATTGGCTTGGTTAATGCCCAAGAACTCAGTTAAGGACATTTGTCCCTAACTTGTCCTCTTGGCCTGAGCCCATGAAAAGCCAGTGTGCCATTGTTTACAAGCCAGAGAGGACGATTCCATGCGTACATGCGATATATTTTGTATTATTCCATTGTTTTTAATGCTTTAACTACTAAATAAGCCACCATGGGCCCAAAGAAAGCTTCTAGTGCCAGCCCTGTGGTACAGAAGGAAAGAAGCACAATAGAATTCAAGAAAAAACTCATAGCAAAGTACCAAAGTGGAGGAGGAAGAGAGAGAAGTGAATGTGTCTTCTGCAGTGATTCAGTGATTGTGCGATATGTACGATACTAAAGCAGCAGGTATCTATAAAGGCTACAGTGCCAGCAAGCGATAAAAGTGTAGAATTAACAGTGTAGCAAGTAAGTTAAGCGAGTAAGTGATAGAAAAATGACACGAAAATAACTCTCCAATGTTGTTTGATGTGCATCAGGGCACTGAACACACACCACCCTGCTACATATCTTCCACCACCCTAAACCTCTGCCAGCATCTCCTCCATCAAACTAACATCTCCTCCAAGGTAAGTGTAAATATAAAGGTGCAAGTATAAAAGTAAATATAAGTGTAAATATAAAAGGACCCCAATGGAAATACGTAAGTCACTCTGACTTTTTTGGGTTATCCTAGGTACTTTACGCATATGCTGCTATGTATGATAATCTATGTACGTAACTCCCCTCAAGGAAGGTTCCTTGATGTTGGTGAGGGGCTCTTGATTTAGGGAATTGGATCTGTGCTCCAGTTCCCCAAATTAAGCCTGAATGCCTTCCACATCCCCCCCAGGCGCTGTATAATCCTCCGGGTTTAGCGCTTCCCCCTTGATTGTAATAATAATATGTACGTAACTGTATTTGTGTATACCTGAATAAACTTATTTATAAATTAAAATGTAAAGATTTCTTATTTATAAATTAAATGTAAATATTTCTTATTTATAATTACATACATTGTTTAAGTGTGATAATGTTGGTGGGTTCTGTTGGTGCCTTCACCACCACCACCATGTACGACTTCTCTCAGTGGCCCTTTTAAACCCAACAACACTTTCATTACTTACTCCTCTCATAAATTATGACATATTTTATTCATTCTAAAGTATATATCATGTTTCTATGTTATTAATATTGTTTATTATGTCATATTAGATGAATTGTGATAGATAAATAAACCATAGAGATAATATGAGCATCATATTGCAGCATAATAAACTCGCCTTCCTCTTGCCTCCTACCTGTCTTCCATACATCAGCAAGAGTCAATAAAGGTAAGTGTAATGTTAAATGTTCATTTATCCATTTTATTAGTGCTTTATATTTATTTGTCATTTTTTCTGTATGTATATCTATAATCTCTAAAAAAAAAATTTTGTTAATACTTTTGGCTGTCTGAAACGGATTAATTGGATTTCCATTATTTCTTATGGGAAAAGTTAATTCGGCTAAAGGCAAAATCGGTTAAAGGCAAGCTCTCTGGAATGAATTGATACCGTTACCCGAGGGTCAACTGTAATTTGAAATGTCCATATTACCAGAACGTCCTAAAGATGCCGTAAAGCGGGGCTCTACTGTACATATATACAGATCGGCTGTCACTGATCTGGCAATCACTAATCCAGTTGTCTCACTAATCCTGCACTAATTTTGGCAAGCATAATTTCATATTTCCCCGGGTTACCACACCAACCTATTGCTACTCTTTGGTGGCTCTGCTTGCTGCATAAACACTGCTGGTGTCACTTGCAAACAGAAGCAAGCTATACCAATTTGTTTTTCACCATTTATTGTTAAACCCTGCTCACTTCCAGCCTCAGCCATGGTTCCAATGAATAAAGGAAATGCTTTTTGTTGTGTAAAGCACAAAACCATACATTGTACATAAAAGATAAGATTGAACCTCTGAAAAAACCCGACAAGAGTGTGTCTTTGAGAAGCTTGTGTGAATTATACAGCACTGGCTCTTCCACAGTTTATGACAAAGAAACAAAGAAAAATTACTCGGTTTCTTGCTAACAGTGATTCAAAGAAATAGATGTGTAAAAGGAAAACAATGAAGGAAGGAAAAAGTTCAAAACTACATAGATCAAGTTTTGATGAAGTGGTTTAGGCTGACATATAAGTGAAGGTGTTGAGCTATCTGCAGACCTGGTGAAGGAACAAGCCAAAATTTTTCATGTAAAACTAGGACTAGATTATGAGTGTGATTATAGCGAAGGTTGGCTGCAGCATTTCAAGGATGGACATGGCTTGAAGTTTCACGCAGTGTGTGGTGCAAGTCAATTTGGTTAACTTTATTAACCAACTTGTACTGATTTACAGGTATTTTAAAAGTAGGACGAGGTGGTTAGTTGTTGGGTTAAGTGTATTCTAACCTAACCACCCTTCGATTCGGCAAAATCACTACTCTGGCACTCTAAAGGACCATATGATGCCAAATTAGCATTAGTCGACCTGTACCAGTGCTAGTACATGTATACCGGTCCTCATTACTTTCCATATACGTATTCCAAATGTGGCTGAATAGCGATTGCCATTCTTGTAAATATCAAACACCCACAATCGCACGTTCAGTGACTGTGGATGTTTGACTAATATAATGAGTGACTAATGTACTGAGTGACTCAGTACATTAGTGCTTAGGCTCTGATGAGCTCTTATGGTTGAAATATTGACAGAATGAGCTGTAAAGTTTCTTTAAGCAATCCCTTGCTCAGCACATAGAAGAAAAGCAGTTATGAATTTGTTATGGTTATGTTATCAGTAGCTGATATTAGAGATATAAAGATTAAATAACAAAAAGGCACAATACCGTGACTGGAACGATACACAAATAACCCGCACATAAAAGACAGAAGCTTACGATTATTTTTCTTTTTGTGTGTTACATATTGCATACCTTGCTAACCTTTCTTTTATCATTTACTATTTATTGTGTTGTCACAGGGAGCCTTCACTTTCCGAAGCCATATGATTGACATGCCACTGCTGCTACAAGCTCGTAACATTCTACAAATGACACCCAGTAAGACACAGGAATCGTAATTGGAAGTTATCTAATTATACAAGAGTTCTGGATAAGCACAAAATATTGGAGAGAATCTTCCAAAGGAAGTTACTGTTATTCTAATGAAGGGTTCTTGGTCAAAAGAATTAGATCAAGTCTTCTTATCCTCAGGTCAATCCAGGTTTGATCCAAGGATGGGAAGCGTAGCCCCAATTCCTTTAATCAAGAACCCTTCAACAACATGAAGGTCTTTGCTGTTGTGTAGTGGGCAACAATTATTCAAGTGACTAAAATACTGACTTTTTTTTGTGCTTTTATTTATTCTGAATGCAGATAAATATTTAATATAAACTGTTAAAAAAATATAAGGTACAGTAATGTATTATAAAAAATAAAAAATATAAATTTCATGGGTGTTTGTATATAAGAAAAAATAAAATGTTATTCACCTTGTATTGTTTTTCACTTGTTATTATTCATATTATCATTATGACTTATAGGGGTCATATGTACCTGAGGTATTGGAAGCATTGAGGTTCAGTCCAAGGATGGAGAGAACAGATTTGATTCCTTGAATCTGTTGTCAGCATCAAGGAACCTCCCTTGAAGAGTTTATTAAAACCAATTGGTTCTTTGGGCTCTGGTGGCCTGGTGGTTGACGCTCTCGCTTCACACGGCGAGGGCCTGGGTTCGATTCCCAGCCAGAGTAGAAACATTGGGCGTGTTTCTTTCCACCTGTTGTCTATGTTCCCCATCAGTAAAAAATGGGTACCTGGGTGTTAGTCAACTGGTGTGGATCGCATCCTGGGACACTGACCTAATTTGCCCGAGATGCTCAGCATAACAAGTGGTTTTCTATATAGTAGTATGTCATTGTTGTCAGCTAGTACTGTATACCATGTACATGTACTTATTATTATTTTTTTTTTATTATCACACCGGCCGATTCCCACCAAGGCAGGGTGGCCCGAAAAAGAAAAACTTTCACCATCATTCACTCCATCACTGTCTTGCCAGAAGGGTGCTTTACACTACAGTTTTTAAACTGTAGTAAATAAAGATTATTATTATTATTATTATTATTATCCTAACTAAAAAAGTAATTTGAGGTTCACAAACTACAATCTTTCAAGTGAGTATTATTCTTACTGGCTTGACAACTTTATCTTTCCTACTCATTAACAATGGCTATGCGAGGATCCCTCTTCAAGGGGGGGGGGGCTCCTTGGCGTGGTGAAGAGGCTCTTGGTCTGAGGAATTAGACCTGTTGGTCTCCTTCCTCAGACCAAACCTAATTACCTCCCAATCCCCCCTTCCCTATCCCATCCTCCCTTTTTCCTTTCCTCCCCCCACCCCATCCCTCCCTTATTCCCTTCCTCTTTTTGGCCTTTGGGATTCTTCCCACAGGCCTACTGGTTCCTAGGTAGGGGGAAGGGTACCGGGGTCAATCCCATTCCATTGAGGTTCTTGGCAGTGGTGTAGTTTGCCGTGGAATCTGGATCGCCTGGGGATATCCTGTTCCCTCTCCAGTCTTCTGCGGGGTGCCTTTGGGTGTCTTTCGGGTGACAGGTGTATCTCTGGAGGCTGCCTTTCGGATTCCGGGGGTGGTGGCCAAAGGAGGTATGCTTTGTGGCGGATATCCGGCCACCCTCTCTTTTGTCCACCTAGGTAGCTTGGCAGATGTGAGGTTGCTATCCTGGATTACTGGTTTACTGGCATGAAGGGTAGGGTATGGCATGGGTTCCATGCTGCATCTGCACTACTTGCGGTGTTGAGGTCCTCTTGGGTGCGGAGGGTGATATCTGGCCCTTTCATTCCTCCTGGGAACTATTCCTCCCCATTCCCCCTTTTTCTTTTTCTTTTTTTTTTTTTTTTTTGCTTTTATTTTTTCTTCTTTCTTTTTTTTCTTATAAACAAAAAGAAATTAGTAACCTAACCATAGAAGCCCTAGTCCATGAACCTGCTACCCTCAGGCCCCTTACTGATACTGCACCCCGTTCTGACCCTGTCTCGTTTTTTGACCACTCTTTGGACACTCCTGATGCCCCTGTACCTCTTGCTGGTGCTGTTTCATCACCAGCTTCAGGTACTGGGGTCTCGACTGACTCCTCCGATTTGTCTGACCTCCGCCCTCCTTTGACTATGCTTCCGGCCTCTCCCTCTATGGTGCAGCAATTTTCGAATCGCCAGCCAGTCCCACATGGGACCAACTCTGGTCCCAGTTCTAAACACCAGCGACAGTCTCCTGGTGATGTTACTTTGTTACCTTCCCATTCTACTCGGAAAAGACCGACACGTCATGCAGTCCCACTCCACGCTCGGTTTCGGACTACACAATGGACTAAATTATTTACTTTATGACTGGCTTCGTCTATTGCCTATCTTTCTGACCATAGTATTGGCAAAGCGCTCCTACGCCATGTTGGTAGAGATATTTCATTTCATGCTCTCAAGAGCGGTACACGCATCGTCACTGTCTAGAATGCTACCCAAGCTCATGATCTTTCTCTCCTTTCACATATCGATACTATTCCTATCACTATTGAAAAACATCATTCTCTCAATTCTTGTAGTGGTACTGTCATTCTGCCCTATACCATAGTGCAACAGAATTTCCAGACATGTGGCAATGACATTCTTGAATAGCTGGAACTCCAAGATCTCCCAATCTTCAAAGTAGACACTTATGTCCTTCCTGCCCACGGGCAGACGATACCTTTGCAATGTGACTCAATTAACTTTCAACAGCCGTGAACTCCCGTCCTCTGTTTATGTCACAGGACATCGGTTACAAGTTCGAAAGGTGATCCCTACACCGCAACAGTGTAGAAATTGCTGGCAATTTGGTCACCCAGCGAAATATTGCAGATCTTTAGCCAAATGCCCAGTCTGTGGTGCCGACGACCATTCTAATACGTCTTGCAGTCGACCTCCTTCTTGCCTCAATTATCATGAGGCTCACCCCTTGTACTCGCACCATTGCCAGGTCTACTTAAATGAGCATGAAATCTATTGCCTCAAAGGAGCAGAAGGTCTCCCTTATGCTATGGCAGTTTCTCATCTCTGCCTCCAAGGGAGACTACCCCGTGTTTCTTATTCTCGTGTTTCAAAATGCCCCCCCACTTCTGGGGTCCCATCTTCTGCAGCCTCCTCTGTTGTTACCCCTCCCATAGTCACTCCTGTATCCAATTCTTTTGCTGTCCTGGGCTCAGACGTCCCTACTTCAACACCTCAGTCTGTTCTGACATCTTTGAGTTTTCACTCACAAGCCCCGGTATCGACAAGATCTCGTACGACACCTACCAATCGCCCCTCTACTTCTCAGAAGTCTAAAAAATCCCCTTTGCTCAAATCTTCCTTGCCCCCTCCTTCCCTTCTTCCACCTCTGCATTTTACCTTTCCAGTCTCTGTACCTGGTTCTTCCCCTCTCACTGGCTCTATTATAAGTGTGGAGGTTCACCCCCCTCCTTGTTCTGTGCCTCCTTCCCCTGTCTCTCCCTCTTCTGCCGCCTCCCAGATTTCTGCCTCTTCTGTCCCCTCCCACACTTCTCCAGTTCCCAACATGCTTTCGTCCCCCCCCCCTACTTTAGTACAGTCCATTACTGTCCCAATCTTTATTCACCCTCCTCCTTCTATCTCCGATATTGTCTCCCATACAACGTCTTTGAATTCAGAAACACTTGACACTATTTCAGAATATATTGCAGAGACTAAACCTTCAATGGACACTGATCCACCTCCTGTTCCTTCTCACCACATCTATTTTCACATACTGTTCCAGTATATCTGCAATTATACTTATCTCTTAGTACCTTGACCAAAGGTAGATGGAAAAGAAATTGTCAGCATAGATTGCTGATGTGTTGGTCTTGTTCAGAGTTGTTGCAAGTACCAGAACAATCTTTGAACTTATTTGTAGTTTAGTTTCTTCCTGTTGAAGCTTTATGGGATGGCTGTCAAAAGTTGGTGTGCCTTGATACATGAGTATATCATGTATGATTCCATCTTCACTTGCACGACTAAAAAGTTTGAAACCCCACTTGTCTAGTTTGGTTTTGATGTACTGCCTTAGGTTTCCAGCAGTTTTACCCTTGAAAGCAACCATGACTTCATCAATAGATTGCTTGGGTGTAGCTGGAACTTTCAAGCAAGCATTAGTTAGTGCAGTGTAAAGAGGCCTTACTTTGTGGAATCTGTCATTATCCTTTTGTGTGTTGTCATTGAAATGAATAGTACGTCTAAGTAACCTAAACCTCTTAGACCCCATGACTTCTGCAACCTGGGGCTCCTAAATGCACTTGTCCAATAGTCTTCGATTACTGGTAATGGAGCAATACCCATGAACAACAAAACACCTACAAACCTCATGATCTCTTCAGAATCTATTGCAAAATTAGTAATTATGTTTTTTTGCTTGGCATACAAATTTGTTTGATATGCTATGCTATCTACCATGTCTGGAGTAAAGAAATCACGAAAATATTCACATGGAGACCTAATTTTAAGAGGCTTTTCATGTTCATATGCCGGCAAAGGGTCATTTTGGAGGTCAACCTCAGACCACTGAGGTTCACTTTGAAGGGCAAGATCGTCATAAATATGTACCTCATCAGGGTACTCCTCGATCGTAATACCTTTCTTTTTCTTGACTAATTTCTGCTTTTTGGCTGGCCTTCCTTCCTCCTCATCATCACTTGACACCTCTGCATCTGGTGGCAAGTATTCATCACCACTATCCAGCAATTCTGGGTCATCTACCTCTGGTTCTGAGTCAGTGTCCTCCAAAATGCAGACATATTTTGACCTGGTGTTGGAGGGCTCCCCATAAAACAATTTCTCATTGATCTGGAAGGACAATAAAAACGTTCTGTATAGATCCAGACCACTACAGAATTCATATATGCAATAGAATTTTTTTTATAAATATTTATTTTACTGAAAGTGAACTATGTCACTAAAAGGGCAGAGGCGAAAATTTTCGCCCTTCCTTTGTTGCAGTTTTTTCAACTGCATACTACACTCACATTATGCTTCACACGGACTTTATGTATACAGTGGTCCCTCAAAAATTGTCCGTAATCCGTTCCTGGAAGTGGGACTATTATCGAAATGGATGATTTACGAATCAATTTTTCCCATAAGAAATAATGTAAATTCAATTAATCAGTTCCTGACACCCAGAAGTATTAAAACAAAAAATTTTTTTACATGAAATATAGATGTAGTACATAAACAATGCAGTGGCACATGATGAATTAAACATTAACAGAATAACACTTACCTTTATTGGCGATTCTTCTTTGTGTATGGAAGACTGGAGAAGGAGACTGATTGGATGAATTACTGTTTGGAAGGGGAATCCCCTTCCATCAACACCTTGGGTACCAATTGCTTTTCTGGGGTTACTTCT